CTTGCTCGAGAGTTGCAGCAGCGTGGCCAGCTTCGTCTTGCTCACGTGGCCACTCGGGCCAACACTGCTGATATATTCACCAAGGCACTTCCGCCTTGTGATCATCAGCGTTTCTGTACTTTGTTAGGCCTTGTACCCACGCTTCCTCACTTGCTGTAGGCTTTGTTTGTACTGTGATCTATATGTATACCTGCATGCTTGCTCTGGTAGGTAGAGATCACTGTGCTGTTGTTGTTACATATATATCTCTGCATGTGAACTGGCCTTTTTGCTTGTCCTCAGACTGCGTGGTGACGTTGTGATCCACCCTGAGCTTGCTTTGCATTTCCTGACTGGTCTTGTGACCCTATGTTCTCCCCCACTTTGCCTATGGGGGTGTGTCAAACATATATATATATATACCGTATGGCCCCGGATATAGGCGCCGTCCGATTAAAGGCGTCGGCGCCTCTATCTGGAGCATGGCGCTTATGGCCGGAACTCGATTATAAGCGCACCCCCTGAAAATTCTATCCTTATTATAAGCGCATCCCTTAACCTTTCATTGGAGGCATTACAAAAGAATTTACTAAATTGTCACTTTTTCTAAGCAACATCAAATTAAGCTAGATCTCCTAACAAGTTTAGCCGGGGTAATTCTACCTACGGTAACATGGATCATACAGTAACCCTCCTACTCCTCCTCGTCAGATTCGGGCTCCTGGCAGTTGTTGCCAAAAAAACCATCAGCGATGATGTCATCGTCGACATCCACTTTAGCTGGCAGCTGGCTCCGCCTGTGCGCCATGGCGAGTCCGTCCTCACTGCCGTCAAGCTGGTTGCTAATGCCACAGGTGAGGAAGGCATGCTTGATGAGGTCGGCGGGCACTGCCTTCCAGGCTTGTGATACCCACCGCAGGACGACCTCTGGTGAAGGCTTCTTCAGGTTCCCTGAAACATTACGGGAGAACGGTGGAAAGCAGTTAGTGCAACAACAAAGAATTCGGGGGGGGGGGGGGAATACTGTACTCATGCCATACCTGCTGCCGTCAGCTGCTCTTGCCCCTCTGCCTCAAACCACCTCTGGTACTGCTGGCGGACCGACGCCTTAAAGCTCTTGTTGATGCAGACATCGAGCGGCTGTACCTCCGCCGTACAGCCCGACGGGATGATCGCCGGCACGCAGTTCATCTCGCGGAGCTTCTCCTTCACCTCCTCGGTGAGGTGACCGCGGTAAGAATCCAGCACCAGCATCGAGCTCTTGGCGTGTCTGCCGAACCGAGGCTTCAGGAACGGCTTCACGCACTCCTCAAGCCAGCGAACAACGCCAGGGGAGTCCATCCACCCGTTCTCGTGGCAAGCCACGGCCACATCTGCATGAAACACGCACGGGTGGTTAGAATTCGAACTCTGAAAAGAACGCAGTGACCGAGCCGTGCACCTCTTTACTTACCGGCAGGGAAATCGCCCTTCGGCAAGGTTTTGCGCTTGAAGAACACCCACGGCTTCAGCTTCCTTCCGTCCGCCGTGCACGCCAACATCACGGTCACTCTCTGCTTCTGATACCCCGCGCTCCTGATAGGCACCGAGCGAACACCCGTTTCCTCCACGGTGGTGGTGGCGGGCATCTCCAGCCAGAGCGGCGTCTGGTCCGCGTTGATGATCCACGCGGTGTCGATGCCGCGCTCACGACGCTTGCCACGCACGAACTGCCAGAAGCTCTTGCACTGATCAGCGACATCTGCACAGCGGTGGAAGAGACGTCGGAGACAGACGGAGGGCGTTAGTACAATTAAATAAAATCAACGTGCCAAATTGAACGGGGTAATTCTCACGCGCTGCGGTTTTCTGGGCAACCCGGGTCTTCATGCGGACGCTCAGATTCCATCGCCGCCGAAAGCGCTCCGACCACCTCTGGCTTCCTTTCCACTTCTTGTCCAGGTACAGAAGCTTCATGAACTCCCGCGACCACTCCTGCAAGCGGCCGACTGACACGGCGGTTCCCTTGCGGCGCCACTCGAGTAGCTTCTCGTACACCTTCAACTCCATCGGCCGGTACCACGACGCTCGCCCGCGGCCGTGCATGCGCTTCCGAGAGGAGTGAACATCCTTGAGGAATTCCGCCGCCCGCTTCCAGTTGGTGAGACACTTCCGGTGGATTCCGCTCTCGCGAGCCAAGGCGCGCACCGACACCGCCAAGTCCATCAGAGCAACCCACTTCAACTTCTCCGCGGCGGTGTAACCTTGCCGCTTGTGGTCGGTGAGCTTGTGCCTGGGAGAGGGGGGGCGGGCATCACGGTTCTGTGAAGAGGGGTGGGGTCGCTTGCGATTATTCGGAGGATAGGTTGGTATGGGCAGTTTCTCGGGTAGCCCGTCGCGTGACCAGTACTCAACGCCGTCGTCGTCAGCGTCGCCCGTAACACCTTCTGGAAACACATCGTCAGCGGTGCCGCCCTGGGCGCCGCCCCCGGCGGAAGCCTCCGTGCCACCCTCGGCACCGTCAGCGCCGCTCGCTTCCTCTGCGTCAGCAACATCATCGTCGGCGCCGACCGCAGATTCGTCCCAAGGGCAATCGTCGGGCTGTCCCCAACGTCGTCCAGGAAAGTGTTCCACTTCCACGTACTCATCTTGCGCCTTGTTAGACTCCGGTTCGGAGAGGTATTCGTCGAACGCCGATGGGAGCAGTATCGTGAGCACGGGCTGATTGCCAGTGAGTTGCGGAGACACAGGACCCAGAGGCGGAGGAGCAGGAGGAACAGGGGGCGCAGGAGGTGCAGGAGGCGAAGGAGGAGCAGGAGGCGCAGGAGGCGCAGGAGGCGCAGGAGGCCGTAGTGGCTCTGGTGGTTCTGGTGGGATACGGGAGTACCACCTGTCAGCGTCTACTCTAAACGCGGGCCTTCGCGTAGGCTTTTTCTTGAACAAGAAGTGGGTGCCGCTGAATTCCGCCATGGCGGCGGCAGCCAGGCGAGAACTACCAAGAACCCGAACGAGAAACTGAGAGAGATGGAGAACAAATGAGAGATTCAAAGGGACCCCTTCTGGTTAGCGCCTCGGGGTCCTCGTCGGGGAGAGACGGGTACCCCCTGTCTGAACCCGGAGAGGAGGTTATCGCGGCACGAAGATGCTGCGCTGGCAGGGCATTCCAGCCCCTTCTCGATGGTTCGGGTGAAATTCAGCTGCCTGCCAGCGCATGAAAGCCTGATTGGGCCGCAAGGCAACTTTCACGTCAGCGCTGGCAGGTGCGCTCCTCCTGGACGGGATTTGTGCGGTCGGGAATCGAAGCGCAGCAGTTTTCGGCGGGATTACATGCATTATCCCACGCGCACGTTACTCAATTGTGTTCGCCTTATTGCGGGCTTCGATTTGGTACATAAAAATAACAAATTCATTTTTGCCATGATATAAGCGCCGGCTCTTATGGCCGTTATTCAATTACAACCGCCACCCCTAAAAAAAATGATTTTATTATAGGCGCATATGCGCCTATATCCGGGGTAATACGGTATATATGTTATAGTTTGGGTAGGCTTAGTGGGGTACTCACTGTGGGGTACAACCCCTTAGGTTTCTCCTTTGTACCATCCTCTCAACAGTCAATTCTTTTCACCCATGCCTATACTCTAAGAGCCTGCGCTTATATCCGGGGGCTTACGGTACCAGTGGAGCAGGATTGGCTTTGATGCTGGGCAGCTGGGATCCTATTATGGTAGCATCAGTATCGGCTATGGTAGATCCTAATCAGCAGAGACATGTAGCATGGCTTTAGCCCGCTGGCAAATTCCTTCGTTATGTTTGTTAGCCCTTGTCTTGCACCTTAACAAAATCAGTCTATTGGAAAAATCATGTGGCATGGCAGGAGATTGTGATGGCTGGGCTAGAAGTACTGAAAGGTAGAGGCGGTTGAGAATTCATTTTGTAATGCTCCCTTTCAGCCCCCTGGAGTTCCATTACATCAGAGACCAAGTGATCGATTCTGTCATTTTCCTTCAAAAAATTTCTCCAATTTTTTTCTCTTACATGATTGATTCCGTGCATAGAGCTGGCTGTTACTAATACAGAGAATTCATGTGCTGCTGTGCTCTTCAGAATTGATTCTGTATCTGCAATCGGGTCAATACAAACGCTGAACTCCCCTGCTTACCCTTTCACCCGCACAAGGGTCATTCCAGCTTGATCTAAAAGTGCACTTTTTGCCACGTCATATCATATCCGTCCATCACATTGCAGTGCACATGACTATATTACAACTTATATTCAGGAAGGTGAGCAGCGGTTCAAAGCGGTGATTTGCTCGTCCATTGGCCAAACACGCGACGCGATCTGCTAAGCCTGCGCTGCTGTAACGCGAGAGCGTGTGTGGGTGGGTGTGTGTTTTACCGTTTGAATGTGCTGCAATGGCAGCTGCAACGCGATCGTGCTGCCATCTGGCGTGCGCTCCGGCCCTTGGGAATGACGGGCACGAAACGCGTCGCTTTGGCGCCTTTCAGGGTAAGGCGATTCGCGGGAGCGGCACAATGTACTCACCTGTCAAATGCGCGTATCGAACTGCCCAAATTGACTCGATAGCGGGGACAGGGAGAAGACCAGCAGCTGGTCGACCATTTCGAGTCGTCACCGCGAGGTTACCATCGGGTTTTGCGGGGCCTCAAGACGGAAGGCTAGCAGCAAGACCGTCAACTGCGGGGAAGTTGCGACTGGCGGAGACAACGCGATCCGCTGCTCCTGGCGCGCGGGTCAAAGCGCATGCCTTGGCATGGCGGAGCGGAGACGGCGACGGGGGAAGCGGCGGAAATGACGGAAGAGGGGGAGGAGGCGGCGGAGGAAGCGGGGGAGATGGAGGCGGTGGAGGAGGCGGAGGTTGCGGAGGGGAAGGTGGTAACCAGCAGGAACATGGCTACTTGTTCTCATTGAAGCTGTTTTCTGATTGGTTCAACTCCCGTTTCAACGCCTTCTCTCCTCTATTCCACAACTGCCTAAGCACGTTCCCAGGCGCCTTATCACTCTCCGCGTTTCTCCTTATCATGCTTCCGCTGCTCGTGTCACCGCTCGCGCGCGCGGAATCCGCGCTTCTCCGCCGCCTTGCGCCTCCCCCTGCGACCGGCGCGCCCGCCGGCGGCCAGGAGGTGATATGGGAGCTGCACGGTGACAGGTGGCGGCGCCTGATTGGCGGAGACAGCAGTAGCAGCGCAAGCAGCAAAGGGGGGAAAGGACAGCTAATGGTGGAAGTTGAACTGGAAGGCGAGGAAGCTGCTAACGCGTACGAGGAGGAACACGGACGCGTTGTAAAGGGGATCGTTACAAGCACGGGGAATGCCAACGGGAAGGGCACAGGGGTGAAGGTTTTAGCGGGGGAGGATGAGCGGAGCAGAGGGGGGGATATGGTTGCGAGGGTGGTGAGGGGAGTGAAAGCGGCGGTGGTGAGATGGATGCTACCAGAGGGTTATCCCGATAGTGTGACTCCTGACTATATGGAGTATACAGTGTGGCGCATGCGGCAAACAGTGGCGAGTGAAATGAACCACGTGCTTACAACGCAGGTGAGAGGTGGGCTAATTTTTTTGTTTGGCATCTTTTAGCAGATGAGAGGTATGCTTGCAATATCTGAGATCCTTCCTGCTCCCTGCCTTCCTCCCTTGTTCTCCCTCTCTTCCCCCTCTCTTCCCTCTCTACCCTCCCCACTTGCCCCCTTCTTCCCTCTCTCCCTCCTCCAGGCAATGCTGTATGCGGTGGGATTAGGCAAGGGCGCCATCCCAGCAGCAGCAGCAGCCGTCAAGTGGGTGATGAAAGACGGGCTGGGCTATGCAGCCAAGGTCACGCTCTCGTCCCTTCCTCTCCCTCCCTCCCCAGGCAATGCTGTACGCAGTGGGACTGGGCAAGGGCGCCATCCCAGCAGCAGCCGCGGTCAACTGGGTGTTAAAGGACGGGCTGGGCTACGCTGCAAAAGTCACGCTCTCCCAGTTCGGCCGCCATTTTGACGTCTCGCCCAAGCGCTCGCGGCTCCTCTCCGACCTCGTGGAGAATCTCTCTGCTTCTCTCGAGCTCCTCACAGCCACCTTCCCGCAGTATTTCGTCCAGCTGGCTGCTGCTGCTGGTGCGGGGTTTTCGGCATCGAGCCTTGTGCAGAGCGCTACCAGGAACCGGTTTTACGCTGGTCTGGCGGGCAGAAGGAATTTTGCTGAGGTAAGGAAGTTTTTTGAGACGTCTCAAAAATCTACTTTCTACACGTGGAATTTTGCTGAGGTAAGGAAGTGCCTCGCTTCGGGAGGGTGAGAGCACCGATCTGGGGAGGTGAGACCGTGAGAGGGCATGTGGGGGGCCATTCCCTCCCTCCGCTTCTCTCGAGCTCCTCACAGCCACCTTCCCGCAGTATTTCGTCCAGCTGGCCGCTGCTGCCGGGGCGGGGTTTTCTGCTTCCAGCCTTGTGCAGAGCGCTACTAGGAACCGGTTTTACGCTGGCCTGGCGGGCAGAAGGAATTTCGCCGAGGTGAGAGCCTTGTTTCGGGCAGGTGAGAGGGCCTGTGGGGGGACACTCCTTCCCTCCCTCCCTCCCTACTTCCTCTGCTTCCATTGAGCTCCTCACAGCCACCTTCCCACAGTATTTCGTCCAGCTGGCTGCTGCTGCCGGGGCGGGGTTTTCTGCTTCCAGTCTCGTGCAGAGTGCTACCAGGAACCGATTTTACGCTGGGCTGGCGAACAGAAGAAAATTTGCTGAGGAGAGGTTCCCCCTTGCTTCGGGCAGGTGAGAGGGCATGTGGGGGGACATTCCCTCCCTCCGCTTCCCTCGAGCTCCTCACAGCCACCTTCCCGCAGCATTTCGTCCAGCTGGCGGCTGCTGCCGGGGCAGGGTTTTCCGCGTCGAGCCCCGTGCAGAGTGCTACCAGGAACCGGTTTTACGCCGGGCTGGCGGGCAGAAGAAACTTTGCCGAGGTGATATTCCGGCCTGATTTGGGCAGGTGAGAGGGCCTGTGCGGGAACATTCCCCAGGCTCTGGCATGCGCAGGGGCACAGGCCATGGTGAGCAAGACGCTCGGAATGGCTCTAGGCACAGGCCATGGTGAGCCATTGCCCCACACGTGGGCACCAGCGGCCCTCTGCTATGGGTGGCGCACCTGCTGCTGTATGACCCGCGTATCTAACTTCACCCTCTCTCTGACTTTTGAGGCGCCTCAAAAGATGACCCGCGTATCTAACTTCACCCTCTCTCTGACTTTTGAGGCGCCTCAAAAGATGACCCGCGTATCTAACTTCACCCTCTCTCTGCTCCTCCTCTTCCTCTCCCCTCAGGTGCTAGCACGCGCAGAGGCACAGGGCATGGTGAGCAAGACATTGGGGATGGCACTAGGCATCGCCATTGCTCCCCATGTGGGCACCCGGGGTCCTCTACTCTGGGCAACTCACGCCGTTCTATCTGCCGCGCACCTGTTCTGCAACTACCGTTCTTACAAGGCCATGCAGCTCAGAACGCTCAACCCCTTCAGAGCAGATGAGCAGCAGCAGAAGTAAGCACTGGGAGGGACAACGCACTAGTGCTGTGGGCACCACCACCAGGGGACGATGGGAGGAGGTGTCCTCTGCTGTGGGCGACCCACGCCGTGCTGTCCGCCACCCACCTGTTCTGCAACTACCGCTCTTACAAGGCCGTGCAACTCAGAACGCTCAACCCCTTCAGAGTCCAGGGGACCTGTGTTCGAGGGACCAGGGGACTAGGAGAGCAGGCCATGAGGGACCCTCTGCTGTAGGGCCGATTTCGAGAAGCCTCACAAGCAGCCAATTCAGTAGATTCAGAAGCACATAGCTGCTGAGAGAGCAGTTATTATCGTGTCCATGTCCCCTAGTAGATTTATGACCCGTAGCCACTCTACTCGACCATGTCCCTTCTCCTTCACCTGTGTCCTTCTAAGCAGCTTCCTCCAATGCTCCTGCCCTCTCTGCTCCCTCTTCTGCTCTCTTCTCTTCTACCCCTGTGCTTTCCCCAGATATTGTCCTGGCAGAGTACGTGACCAATGGCAGGGTGCCAGGTGTCATTGACGTCAACTCCCAGGAACCCATTTTGCCGCCCCTCAAATCAATCTTCTCGCCCAAGGTAACCTGTCTGTCTGGTGTGGTGCGGTGCGGTGCGGTGCGTGTGCGTTGCATGTGCGTTTCATGTGTGGTCCGTCCATGTGCATTACATGTATGGTGCATGTGCGTTACATGTGCCTCACATATGTGTTACATGTCTTGTACATGTGCGATGCAAGTGTGAGCCCTAGTACTGTGTCGCTCAGCGTGAGTGAGTGAGCCTATGCCCACAAGGAATAAAAAAAAAAGGTTATTGACTCCCCAACCCCCTCGTTCGCCCCTCCATTCCGCACCCTTCCCCCTCCTCCACTTCCCAGGCGTCTCCCATACCCCTCCCCGGCACAGGGAGCCAGAACTGGATCGAGTTTGGAGTGCATGTGGCAGCAGTGGCGCACACACAGAGACGTCTCATTGCCCCCCCTCCCGTTTCCCTTCCCCTCCCCCATCCCAGGCGTTGCCTCCACCTGTCCCCGGCACAGGGAGCGAGAACTGGATCGAGTTCGGAGTGTCGTTGGCAGCGGTGGCGCACACAGAGCGGGAGGCTGAGACTATGGCGGAGATATTCCGAGGAGAGAAGTACATGCTGGGAAGGGACGAGCGAACGGGGCAGATGCAGGTGAGTGCTTTGAGACGTCTCAAAACTTGCCTTAGTGTGTGTGTGAGCGATTGTATGCATTGGACTCGTGGGAGAAGAAGGGAGAGTGTGTGTGGCGCACACACAGCGGGAGGTAGAGGTGATTGCGGAGATGTTCCGAGGGGAGAAGTACCTTTTGATGTGGGCGGGACAAGGGAACAGGACAAGGGAACAGGACAAGGGAACAGGACAAGGGAACAGGACAGAGGCAGGTGGGTACCTACCATGTGTGTGTGTATGTGGATGGGTGGGTGTTGGGGGGAGAACAAGGAGGAGCATAGCATGTATGTGCGTGGAATGGCGGGATGTAGAGGCGATGGCGGGGATATTCTGAGGAGAGAAGTACCTGCTGCTGGGACGGGACAAGAGAACTGGACAGATGCAGGTTCGTGCCTTGAGCGTGGTTGGGTGTGTGTGGCGCACACAGAGCGGGAGGCAGAGACTATGGCAGAGATATTTCGAGGAGAGAAGTACCTATTGGGAAGGGACGAGCGAACAGGACAGATGCAGGTTCGTGCCTTGCGTGTGGGTGTGTGTGGCGCACACACAACGGGAGGTAGAGGCGAAGAGATGAGCGAGCACGACAGATGCAGGTGGGTGCCTTGTGTGTGTCTGAGTGGGTGGTAAGAAGAAGGGTTTAGGAAGACAAAGGGAGAGTGTGCATGATTGTGTGTGGCGCACACAGAGAGGTAGGCAGACATGATGGCGAAGATAGGTCGAGGAGAGAAGAACCTGCTAGGACGGACAAGAGAACGGGGCAGATGCGGGTTTGTGTTTGCAGGTGGGTGGTTGGGTGGGTGGGCGGGTGTGGGGAGAGCAAGGGATAGAGCTCTTGGAAAATTCCGGTACTTTGCCTAACCACGTCACTTCTGAGTGACTTTTGAGTCGACTCAAAAGTCACCATCACTCCTGAGTTCTTCGTTCTTCTCGTTCAACCTCATTTCTTCATGCACTTCAGAATTCCTCTCTCTCAGGACTTTCTCAGAGCAGAGCTGCAAGTGTTTTGAGTCGACTCAAAACAAGCTGCCTACCTCCGCACGCTCGCCCCACACTCCCTCTGCCGCACTGCAAGCCGCCTGGCGCTAAAACCTCTCCTCTTCCCCTCACTGCCATTCCCTTCCCTCTTAGGTTGTGTTGAAAGAGGGAGCTCTTCCGAGGGACTTCCTCCGAGCGGCCCTACAAGCTGCCTACCTCCGCACGCTCTCTCCACACGTCCTCTGCCCCACCATTCACTCTCTCACCCCTCAAGCGCGCACACACGTCCAAGCCCGCGCAGCCGAGTTTGCCTCTTTTGGAAAGCTAGAGGTGCTGCATGTGTCGTATGACTGCATGGCGGGGGGTTTCGACGGGCTATGTGAGGTGCTGAGAGCGAATGGGTGGCGCTGTGACGATGGCTTGCTGGCGCGCCCAGGGGACTGGCGGCTGCTACTGACAACGGATAAGGGGAAGTGAAAAATGGGGGTGCTCATGCTTCGTATGACCGCATGGCTGGGGGACTGGCGACTGCTGCTGGAATCAGCGAATAAGGAGAGACGAGGGCTGGGGGAACAGTAGCGAGTGAATCGTTTGAAAAACTAGAGCGTGCGCTGACGATTTTTTTGGCGCTTGAGGATTGGCAATTTCTCATGTCAGCGGTAAGGAGAAATGAGGGATGGGAGAGAGCATCAGCATTTGCTCCAACTAGGAATCTTACAAGTGATGATGCATGTGTCTTGTTGGGCTGAGAAAAGCCCTTAGGATCTTTCAGGACTAAGATCAGGTGTTGACGTAGAGATGTAATTGCGGAAGCGTTTAATAAGAGTTTGCCTTGAACCACCTTGTACTGGTGTGTGAGAACAAGATAAGTTGAATAATAGCAAAGAGATACAAGCCTTTTATATGATTACAAGGAATATGAAAAGTTCTACTTTAACTGTTTTGCTGTTGCGGTCCGATACAGTGCCGACTCGGGTAACTGCTCAGTAACGAGTCAGTTATGTGTCCTTGCTATCGCACTGTACATTTTGTCAAGTCAAAGGTCGGAGACCTTTGACCTTCGCGTAACCTCCGACGGTTGCCTTGGTTGACTCGAGTGCTTCTTCGCTGTAGTCAGCTCCGTTTCGTGTCAAAGCTTCGATACGACAGAAGCGTTTAAATCACTTGTTTCCAACATGTCTTACGTATGTTATGACTGTAGTTGTCTGGGAAGCCAGAGAATAGGTGATTGGCAGGAGTTTTTTATCGAAGTAAATTATTCAGTTTCTCTGAAAATCAGAGTGGTTTTTGGGGGGTCACTCTGATGTTTCTGGGTAATTTTTTTGGAAGTTAAAATTTCCCTGATTTACCAGGGTTGTGATTTTAGGTACTCTAATAGACCAGTGTAAATTTATGTCGAATGCATTTTTCTTTGTACAGTGAACAGAAAATTCGACCGAGCCCCCCCCTTGACTTGGTGGGAAATGGCAAGCAGAATTACTTATCTACAGGATAGTAAAACGTTGATAGTTTTTTTAGGAGCGCGAAAGGCGTGGGTTCAATACTTGAGAGGACATTCTGTCAAGAAACTGAACGAGAATTAATGCATTGAGCAGAAAGTCGGTACAAGTTCTAACCCTAATTGGATTGTACCTTTTATGGGCTACCCCACTACAGCCTACTGTCAGAATCCCAACCACTAGACCATTGGGATAAAAGGGCTTGTTAAGTAGCGAGTCAGTGCGCTCATATCCCCCAAGGACAACGAGCACGTAACCCTTCCCTAGGATCAATCGGGGATCACCAGTGGACCTCTGACACCCCCCCGCACTGGGATGCCCGAAGTGCACACACTGGGATTCGAAACCGAGACCTTTGCTCTGATACCATGTCAGAATCCCAACCACCAGGGCCTATTTTATCAGTGTAAATCACATTGCTATACTTATTAGAAGGGTGTTTTTTTGGGCTTGCACTGATGTGTTTGGGTATTTTTTTGGGGGATTAGTGTTACACTGATTTGACAGTGAAATGATTTAGGCCACACTGATACTCTGGGGCGAAGATTACCCTTAAGGGCGTACAGGGCACCCCCTCCCTCTCCCCCCTCCCCCCCCCCCCCCCCCCCCCCCCCTTACTCCCGAAATCTGTCGGAGCGTGATTTCCGTCAATCACGCAAGTACCGAAGCGGCCTTCCCTGCAGTAAGTGCGTTGGCAGCAGTCATGTGTCTAATTGGTCACGTTTTTATGTTTCGGTATCCAGCATGCCAAGGAAAGGAATCTTGGCATCACGTACAATGATGCTGCCCGAACTTAGTCAAATCCCAGGCCACATTCATACTGTCGGTGGCATAGATGCAAGCCGCGTCACCCAACGAAGCGACCTGATGCTTTGCCGTGTTGGTTCAGCAAGCTCAGCAGAGTGGGTCAAGCAGTTTCGCAACACTCAGCCATTCCTCCAACCAACTCCAAAAACCATTGTTTTTATTGCCACTCTGTCTAGCATCCACACGTTCTCCACCCCGTAGCCATGGCAGCGCCTAGCGACGATGACGCTGCCGATGCCGATGGCGACCCCTCTTGTAGCCACGGTCCAAGAACGGGCCTTGATTTCTTACGAGGCCCAGTCTCAGAACCTGCACACCGTCCTTTGCCCGAGCCCTCTGATGAAAGTGAGGGATGGAGGTACCTGTGAAGAATTAAACAGGAATGAAGAAAGGATGATTGCACTAGCAAGCAGTTGAGTACATATAGGAAACCCTAGATTGGGCTGTACTCACTATTGAGTACCCCACTGCAGGCTAGACAAATACAACATATTCTGACACACCCCCATAGCCAAAGTGGGGTGTAATCAGCACAACAGGCAAAGCAAAACAAGCTCAGGGTGGATCACAATGTCACCACACATTCTGAGCACAAGTACAAGAAGTAGCAGTTTATAGTTCACAAATATAAGCAAAGCTAGAGGCAGTCACAGATGGTAAGTGAGGAGGAGGAGGGACTGTGAGAGGAGAAGAGATAGGAGACGACAGGTGAAGCTGCAGACACACGGGCAACAGGAGCGGCGCGCACTGTGGCTACCGGAGATTGTAGCCTCCGGACTACTGGAGTAACTGGCTCCGCGACTAACTCTGAGCTGCAGGAGCAACGGACCCACGGGCGACTGGCGCAGCAGGCTCGCTGGGCTACCGGAGATTGTAGCCTCCGGACTACTGGCGCTGCTGGCGACACGACAGCTGCCTCCGCCCAACATCCTCTAACTGTCTCACCCCCCTTTCACACACCCCCTGCTGCACCTCTAGCACTACTCATACTCCACCCCCTAGCACCACTCCATTGGCTCCCACACACCCACCCCCCTCAGCGGCAGCTGCAGCAGTGGGAGACGGAGGAGGAGGAGGAGCAGGGGATGCCACTCACCCGCCACCCCCTACTCGCCACCCCCAAACCCTAACACAGGGCAGGGCGGGATGGCGGGTAGGGAGGTTACGGGGGGGGGGGGCGACGTGCGGCTTCCCAGGGCGCCAAAACAGCCGGAAGAAGGGGCGGCGCGCGGCCCCCCCTCCCCGGGTCGCCACGAAATGCGACGGGGGAAAGGGGGGGGGGGGCGGTGCGCGGGCCCCCGGTGCGCCGCGACATGCATGAGGGGGGGGCGGGGCAGGGTCGGGGCATGGCCGGGGCAGGGTCGGGGCATGGCCGGGGCAGGGCCGCGACGGGGGGCCGCGACGGGGGGCCGCGACGGGGGGCCGCGACGGGGGCCGCGACGGGGGGCCGCGACGGGGGGCCGCGACGGGGGGCCGCGACGGGGGGCCGCGACGGGGGGCCGCGACGGGGGGCCGGGACGGGGGGCCGCGACGGGGGCCGCGACGGGGGGCCGCGACGGGGGGCCGCGACGGGGGGGCCGCGACGGGGGGCCGCGACGGGGGCCGCGACGGGGGGGCCGCGACGGGGGGCCGCGACGGGGGGGGGGCCGCGACGGGGGCCGAGACGGGGGGCCGCGACGGGGGCCGCGACGGGGGCGTTAAGGGGCCGCAAGGGGGGGCCACGACGGGGCCGTTAAGGGGCCGCAAAGGGCCGTGACGGGGCCGCTACGGGCCGCGAAGGAGCCACTACGGGCCACGAAGGGGCCTCGAAGGGCAGGCGCGACGTGCGCCTCGGGCAGGTAAGGAAAAAAAAAGTTTAAATTTTAGTGGTGGGCCCAAGGATCGATATTGCTCTATACCATGTGAAGAATTAAACAGGAATGAAGAAAGGATGATTGCACTAGCAAGCAGTTGAGTACATATAGGAAACCCTAGATTGGGCTGTACTCACTATTGAGTACCCCACTGCAGGCTAGACAAATACAACATATTCTGACAGTACCCTGTGCGCAAAGCGGCGCAAAAATCACCACCGCCCCAGCCTGAAGCTAAGTGTGATGACGCTGGATGGCAGCGTCCGGAACGCGATGAGGCGGACCCCGTCGTGCACGACTTCGTTGACTCGACGGAAATCGTCTCTGAAGTCCCGGAGTCTTCTAACTCCGTTGCGCTAAAAAAACGCCGCTACACGCAGACTACTCTTGGTTACGGCGGTGGCTCGCCTCTCGTGAAACCTGCTCCTCCGCCACCTCTCGTTGTGACGCCATCACCGTCACCGCTGAAGCAGACTCCGGCTGAACGCGCGGAAGCAAAGTTCCTTGAAGCTCAGAGGAATTACATCACCAAATGGCTGCCGCAATTTGATTGGTTATTGCTTGACAAGGGTGATGATGGTCTTCACATCAGATCGAGCTGAGCGAGACGCCAATACCAGGACACAAATACGGCGGCTCGATGGCCGACTGCATCAAGTTGTGCAAAGTGTCCGCGCTTAAGGTGGCGACAAACATGCACACTCGCATGTGGAGCTTGAAGAAAATGGAGGGCAGCAAGCTTTACAAAGTTGAAACGTGGCCGGAAGCAACAGACAAGCGGGAGCGCCGGGTGCCGGGTTGGCTGGATGCCAACGCGCGGCTCCTCAACAACTGGCTGCCATGTAATTATCCATACGTAGATGTTGTCTCGTATGAGCGTGTTTTGTTTTGTTTCCCCAAAATGCTGAGGACCAAGGATTGGCCACGCAGTTTTCCCAACCTGACGTCCATGTGGCGGGCGCTGGCAGTGATTCCGCTAAGTACCGTGGAGTGCGAGCGCGGATTCAGTCGCCAAAATGTGATCAAAAGCTGGTTGCGGACGTCGCTTGGGGACGCTCAGCTATCCGAACTGATGATCCTGAACATGTTGAACTACGAGTACAAGTGCCCCGAGGTTGTGGATATCTGGCGGAAGCAAAAAAATAGAAGACCCGCAAAAACACCTGCCCCACAAAAGTCGTGCTCTGGAAAAAGGAAAGGAAAGAGTGGAGTCGCCTGATGGTAGCGAGGATGAGCATACATGTGGCTGAATGGCTATATAAATAAAATGTTCTTTCCCGATTTCTAAAACGATTAGTAATATGTATTTGCGATAAGG